ACAAACATAATAAATATATTAATGTTAAGAGTCTGTGTTTATGAATAAATAGTTTTCTAATAACTAAGAATTTTAAAAGTTCTTATTTAACTAACTTGTTTCAGCAATCAAATAAACCAGATTGAATCATTTCATTTCAATTGCTATGATTCGTTTCGTTGTGAAACGATTAGGATATTCTTTTCCACAAAGTCTATCTTCAATTCCTTCATATTCATATGACCAATGTTTACAACTTGATATTGTTTTATAATTTTCTTTATGAACACAAATATCACATCTCCAAATCCAAACAAATAATCACTTGATTTATTCCATAAATAAAATGCATATTGCTGTTCTTTAATATCAAATTTCTTCATTCCTTTCATCCCATTTGATTCTAATGAAAATACAAATGGTTTTGAATCTGTTATATAATCATTAACTTTATCAATTTTAGAGTTAACATATCCTCCCAATGTATTTCCTTTTGAATCTTCAATAATAATTGTTATATGTTCTTTATTCATTATTCTTTGATTAAATATTGATGTATTTTTATTCCAATCATTACTGACCTATTATCAATATTCCAATCATCTTTATCCGAATCAAATAGCTTTCCAATCATCATTATCTGAATCAAATATTCCAATCATCATAATATAAATCAAATGATATATTTGATATTCTTTTCTATCAATTCTTCTTTTTTATTTCATTATTTAGAAGAGCTTTCTTTTTTTTTTATCTCCTTTTTCCTCATTTCCTGTTTAATGTCTAATTCCTTTTCATTCGCACTTACTTTTTCTGGTATTATACTTATTAACTCTTTGTTCTTTTCTTCTTATTCTAATATCATTGAAATAATATTGTAAATATGTTCTGAGAATAGTCACTGATGTTCATAAAAACACAGTAAATACTTTTATAAATATTAGTTATTTTTCTAGCACTAACACACTTTGATTTACTTTTTATAAAATAACAATTTTTTTTCTGCCATATTATAAACCCCTTCCATCTTGTAACCTTATAGAACATTGATTCATTTGGTATGTCTATTGAATCTTCTTTTTTTTAACATAATAGAATACATGTTTCGTTAAACTTCTTTATCTTGATAGTATTATTAAGTTATTTAGATACAAAAACATTCTTTTTAACTCTTCAAATAGAGAACTAACTTTTGAATTTGTTTTTAATCATTCTTCTTTTATTTTTCTTTTGAAACTATAGATTCTAAATTTTTTATCTTTTTTATCCCCATTTAATCTTCTTCTTTTTTAAAAAGTCTTTCTTTTATCATCACTTAACTTTGTTTTTATATCAAAATGTTTATAAAACTCTTATTTCTTTATGTCGTATTCATTCATTAATACAGTGAAAGAAATTTTAATAGACCTACATGCTTAAGAAACATAATCTAAAATAAAATACCCAAACAATAAGTATACTACTATCTAGATCAGGTATATTCTCTGTTCTATCAATTTCAGTTATAAAATGTTAAATTGGATTCTACACTACTTTAGTTTATTATTATCGATATACCAAAGCATTTAGATTCTAATGTCTATAATATAACTATAATAATTATGTTTTAATATATGTTCTGTTTTTAGAATAGCTTATTGATATATATAACTATTCTTATTGAAGAATGAAGAATTTTAATAGAATTGTTCTAAATCACAAAACTAGGTATATTTCTTTTTTTTAAAGTAAAATCCTTACAAAGAACAAATAATAAAATAATTATATGTTAATAAATGTTTATAGTATTAATACAAAACCAAACACAGTCAATTATGTTTTAGACTTTATTAACATTTTTGAATGAAGACATAATAATTTAAAAATTATTCATTTTCTTCTAATTTTATTTATGAGTTGAGGATGTTTTCTATTAATATTATTTAATTCAAGTATAAGTTTATACAAAAACATATCGAACGAAGCGTATATGAAATATTTTAATAGTCACTCTTTAATATACAATATATCACTTTCCCAATTATTTAAATGAATCAGTTAATAATATAAGGTAAAAAGAGTTGATTCTACCTTTATAAAATCAACGATAAAATATCTCTAGAATTGTTTTACATTTTTAATATTTTTAAAAACATGAATAAACTAGACATAAACTCATTTAATTCCTTCAAAAAACAAAAGAATTTTTCTTTTAAGAAAGGAAAAATTTCCTTTAAATTTAAGAAGAAAAAGAAACAGTTTTGACCAAAAAAAGAACAAACTAAAAAAAAATAAATTATGAACAGTACTTCCAATGAAAACACGTTTAAAATTCTTGCTCAAGGAAATGATTATCTTTCTATTGAAGCAACAGTGTCTGCAATTAACAATGTAATTTATTCTGCGTCTCATCCAGAAGAAACTCATGGACCGTCAAGAAAAGAACTTTTATCATCATTTTTTAATTCAGCAATAACAACTCTATACACACCATTAATGGCAGTTGCAACAGACACAAATGGAAATGGAAAAATTTCAAAAGAAGAGTTTAAGAGAACATTAGACATTATTCAACAATATGGACTTAATAAAAATTCTGAACTTAATCTTGCCAATGCAGTACTTTTTTGTATTCTTGATTTAAACAATGATGGTAAAGTACCAACTGATGACATGATATGTTTTATTGTTAAAATGTCACAACAACAACCATCAGAAGAAGCAAAAGAAGAAGTTAGATCTATTATCGATCCATCACATAAAGGGTATGTTGAATTAAAAGACTTTATGAAAGCAATGAATATGTAATTGAAAACATTCTATTTCTAAATATATTATAGAAAGGTACTTTTTTCTTTTGTAATTTTTTAAGTAAAAAAACATTAACTTAAACTAATAACGAACCAATCATCTTAATGCAGAGAAGAATTTTAGTCCAAATTCTCCTCCTACAGCTAACATTCCATTAATATCTGGACACCAAGAACATGCCAACACATCCCCTTTACAATCAATTTGTTTCAATACATAAGGTTTACCACCTTTAGCATCCCATATTTTAACATATTTATCTTCACCTCCAGTTGCAAAAATACCATTGTTGTAAATAGAGGCACATGTACAAACTCTCTCATGAGCAGCAAGTTCCCAGACAGGATTATTAAGATTTCTCATATCTCGTAATTCTACCCTACCATCTTCAAAAGTTATCATAAAAAGTCTTCCATCATTGTTCCAAACAAAGTCGTTCATGTCACATTGACAGAACCAATTTCCTAATGTTTTTTGTTGTCGAGCATCAAGAAGATACATTGCTGCCTGAGACCCATTTTCTCCAAATGACCCAGTAGCTAAGACAGACCCATCTACAGGATTCCAACTACAAACTTGAACTTTCCCTTGATGATGACTTAATTGATGTGCAACTTTCATTGAAGCTAAATCCCAAAATCTAATAATATGATCAGCTGACCCAGTGGCTAATATATTTTTTTGTAATGAATTCCACCCAACAGATAATACAGTTGCATTATCGTCGAATTTATCATTAATTTCTCTTGCTTGATTTATTATAGCACCATTTGTTGGGTCTAACACAACTAATGGTGTTGTGTCTTCTAAAGAGTCAATGTTCCATAATTCTAATGGCTTACCTAAACATGAAACAGCTACAATATTTTTTATTCCATTAATTGGACATGACCCCATATCAAGATAAGATGTTGTTAATGGAATATTTGGCATAAGAATGTCATGGTGAATATACTTATTATCAGCACTTTGTTCCATAACAATAAACTCTAACCTATAATCAACTTCTACATTATCAAACATACCAGCTATTAACACTGAGTCTGTATCAGCAATTAAGTTCTCTTCTACTTCAGAATCATCTTCTTCCATATCAGGATCAAACCCATCTCCTTGTTTAGTTAATGCATATTTAGCGTAGTCATCTTCATCGTCATCATAATTACTTAATCCATATTTCTTAACAATTTCATCTTCTTCCATTGCTTGGTTTTCATCTTTTTGGACTTCTTCATTATACAATTGTTCAAAATTAGGAATAATTGGATAATTACTTAAATGTGCTTTAGGAATCCAGCACGTAGTACTATACATATTTTATCCTTCTGTACTTCTTTTATTTTACTTTAAGGGTTTGTTAGGGTTCCTCTTTATTTCGATTTTTAATACTACTTTTGATAAATAACAAATAATTATCTTTTTATTAATTTTTCTCTATAAAAATTTTGTTTTACATAGAAACAACTTAAAGATAAAACAACCCATTGAATTTAAGCAGTCTTGTC